TTTACAATTATTTCAATTAAGTATGTCACAGAAAGACAGTTCTTTTGAAACATTCTACGTTTTTCAGGTATCCATACAAGAAAACTGAGCAATTTTGGATCGAGAATTTCCTAAATCATAAGTCTCAGCCAGCATAATCTGATTTGGCATAATAGCATATTTCTGTACCTAATACTTAACTGAGAAAGACATTAAAGCAAAAGACAGGTGATGAAAGTTTTCTTTTCTTCCATATCTTTGTAACTTGGTTGAATATGATAGATTAGCTAGTTTATTGATTTAGGAATGATCAGCAATATTACTTCCCCCAGAGGAATATTAAGATGATTCATAACAGATTCAAAATCTGATTTCTAGCTTCCTGCGTAAATGTGTACAAATTTATAGGTTTAGCTCTCCTCAAATTTCTACCTTACAAATATCCACTTATGCACACAGGGGATCTCTGTAGTTCCCCAAGAATTTAGTGACTGTTTTTATACATAAACATTTATATTGCTAGAAAAATAATAAAGTACAATAACTAAGGGCTTAAGTACACATTAAAATATCACCTATGCTTTCACTAGCTGTGGATTTTCAAAGTTCCCGAAAAGGTCTGTGTTAATATTTTTTAAATATATGTCACTGATCTCTTAATTTCTGGGTGATAATTATTTTAGTATATTCAAAAACACTTTGAACAGTGCCTAGCAAATAATAGGTGCTTAATAAATATTGGCAGGTAGTATTGTATCATATCTTAAGTTGAATTCTTGTTTATACCATGGAACCAAAGGTTTCCCTCAAAGGTGGTATGTGCTTAGTAACTGGTCATTTCCGATCCAATTTCTTTCTATTAAAATTTGTTCCCCAAGCTTCAGTCATTCACTTATTGTGTTTGTGTGGTTTTTTCCCCCACATTTCATTTACTTAAATAAGAAAACTCCTTCTATCCCAGAATTCTCCCACCATTGTAAGTTGAGTATAAGACATGAATACTAAATTCCCAGTATAATGAGTAATAATTAAAAGTAGTAAATTGTAAACACATAGTCACTTAAATAAACTCTTAGTTCTTTAAGAGGCTTAAATCTCAAATATATCTATCTATATCTATATCTATACCTATCTATCTATCTAATCTATATATATATACATACATCCTCCTGTTGAAAAGTTGAAATATCAATGAATAACATATACAAAGTTTTGGTTCTAGGATTTCTCCCATTAACTGCTATTCTATTCGCAGTTTTCTTATGCAGAAGACCTTTCATTTCAACACTAACTAATCATCAATTATGGTTTTCTTACTTAGGGTAATGCTAACAAATATAAAATTATCTAAAATATTTCATGGCTCCACAAATTAGAAGTTTATTCCTCACTATTTAAAAGTTCAAAGGACATTTTCCACCTGAACTTTCTGTTCTCACTACAACTTTATTCTCAGTATAAAATTATTCCAAAATAAAGTTTACTAAATAAGACAAAGTGAGTTTTCCTGAACTATGCTTGGGTTTTCTTGACCTGGTGATTCAGCATTCTCCCATCTTGCATTTTCATTCTCCCATAAGGTCTCGGTTGATGTTTATTCCCAGCTGGTATCCTAGGAAAGAGAACATGTGGGGGGAACTCTTACTGGTTAATAGCCTTGAAAGGGAAGTGGTTCTCATTGTTTCTACTTGTTTGTTTTTGGTCTAAACTAGTCACATGGTCACTCTCAACTGTAAGGCAAGCTGAGAAATGCAGTCTGGAAGTGTGCCCTGGAAGGAGAGGACAGAATCTGGTGAGAGACTTCCAGATTCTTCCTCCCTCCCATATATCAATTTGCACCTGTCTTTCAACACTTAGGAATAAACTCATACACCTCCTGAAAGGAGACAACCAAAAGCCTCACCTAGTTACTGCCTTGAGCTCCAATTCCAGAATCTCTGATGGTAAACAGCTTTCTGCATCAGCTCCAAATTTTCACCAGGGGATTAAGAACATCAAACTATTTTCTCCATCATCTCTAACAGATAATGCTAGGGCAAGAAATTGATACCTGAAAATAAGCAAAACCCCCAAATCCTCTAATTTATAAAGGAAAGAATGGCAAATAACCAACAGTCACTGGATGCAAGTGATGATGAACCCTCCTGGTCAGGTCCTGTGAGACCTGTCCAGGCAGTAGAGACAGTCTCTGGCTCTTCTTTCTAAGAGAATTTCCCATATCCGTTGTTCTCCAGGGTTTTTGGCTGTGCTTTCTGAGTCTCTTCCTTCTCCATTATCCTTCATGGACCATATCTGAAGTGGACATGGAAGAGAATGGCCTCCTTGAAGGCTGTACTGCCTTCATAATTGTTTTTGTGGAGCAAATATGGAATTCAGGGATTGAATAGAATCACAGGGTCTTTATATCAGGCTTTTGGTTTCTTTGGGAATACAATTCCCTCAAAATCTTACCAGACCACCTTATCTGCCTCCTGTGAAACCTGTATGCAGGTCAAGGAACAACAGTTAGAATCAGACATGGAACAGCAGACTGTTTCCAAATTGGGAAAGGAGTATGTCAAGGCTGTATATCGTCACCCTGCATATTTAATGTATATGCAGAGGGCATCATGCAAAATTCCAGGGTGGATGAAGCACAAGCTGGAATAAAGATTGCCAGGAGAAATATCAATAACTTCAGATATGCAGATGACACCACCCTTATGGCAGAAAGCAAAGAGGAACTAAAGAACCTCTTGATGAAGGTGAAAGAGGAGAGTGAAAAAGTTGGCTTAAAGTTCAACATTCAGAAAACTAAGATCATGGCATCCAGTCCCATTACTTCATGGCAAATGGATGGGGAAACAATGGAAAGAGTGACAGACTTTATTTTCTTGGGCTCCAAAATCACTACCTGTGGTGACTGCAGCCATGAAATGAAAAGATGCTTGCCCCTTGGAAGAAAGCTATGACCAACCTAGACAACATATTAAAAAGCAAAAACACTACTTTGCTGAAAAAAGTCTGTATAGTCAAAGCTATGTTCTTTCCAACAGTCATGTAAGGATGTGAGAGTTGGACCATAAAGAAGGCTGAGCATCAAATTAATGCTTTTGATCTATGGTGTTGGAGAAGACTCTTGAGAATTCCTTGGACTGCAAAGAGTTCAAACCAGTCAATCCTAAAGGAAATCAACCATGAATATTCATGGAAGGACTGATGCTGAAGCTGAAGCTCCAATACTTCAGTCACCTGTTGTGAGGAGCTGACTCATTAGAAAAGACACTGATGCTGGGAAAGATTGAATGCAGGACAAGAAGGGGCCGACAGAGGATGAGGTGGTTGGATGGCATCACTGATTCAATGGACATGAGTTTGAGCAAGTTCCAGGAGATCGTGAAGGACAGGGAATCCTGGCGTTCTGCAGGCCATGGGGTTGCAGAGTTGGACATGACTAAGTGACTGAACAACACCACCACCACAATCTTAGCTGACATTGAATTGATCTTTTCAGTCTGTTTCATGTGCTGGTAAACAGAGCCAAAATCATCCAAAATTATTTTCTAGACATAGTGCTTAATCTAAAGATTCCTTACACTCATATCTCTCTCTCTTTCTCTCTCAGTCTGTGTCTCTTTCTTTCTCTTCCTACTGATTTGCCCCACCACCTTCTCTTCTTTATGCAAAGTACTAGAAAATTCCTTTATAGTGAAATCATACTATTAATGAGAGCTTTTATTTAAATTTTAAAATATGATTTTTAATTATAAATTCTTCTTTTTTTTTTTACTATAGCATCTGTCTATGATGCTTCTTCAGGAGAAAAGGCATTTAAAGCAAATTTGTTCTGAAAGCACTTACTGTGTGTTTTCTATATTTATATATATACGGATAACAGTGGAAGACATGGACATTAATAGCACATTAACTCTGAAGAAGCTAAGTTTATAAACACACAGCATAAATACAAAAGTTTCAATATTAAATATTTTGTCCCAGTTACTACTACTGCATTGCAGATCACTCTGAAACATAGAGGTGTAAAACAATGATTTTTTTTTTATGCTGATAGACTCTGGTCAAAAATTCAGATAAAGCACAATAGGAATAGCTACTGCAGTGTCTGATATGTCTACTGAGAAGACCTGAAAGCTGTGGGGATTCAATGCCTAGAAGAAGAAATCATGAAGATATTTTTATGTTCACATGGTCAGTGGCTGATACTGGCTGTCTGCTGGAAACTCACCTAGACTGTCAGCTAGAAAACTGGTCTCTCTCAATGGGCCGATTTGGGCTTCCTCTCAACATGGTGCCTTTTTTTTTTTCTTCTTTTTAACAAAAAGCAGCAAATGTATTATTCAGTGTCTGGTACCACACCACAGCACCACCTAGAGACCTCACCTTCCCTCCTTACCTGTCCCCAAGGGTACACCCGAAATGGAAAAAATAAAAGTAAACCCAGGTGTCAGCTCCTTCTCTGGAAGAAGGGGTGTTGGCCTTGGGAGCCCCTTTCTGCAGGTCCCAGCTGGCAGGAGAGCAGATCCTTCCTATGCCCAGAGAGCTGGGCTCCAGCCTTCAATAACAGAAAGAACATTCAAACAGGAGCAGAGCCCTGTTTCTGCAGAGGAAGATGATTTGGGAGGGTTCCAGAACAGGTGGGGAGTGAGTGGTATTTTTATACTCTAATATTTGGAGTCATATATGTCACTTCTGCCATGGATCCTGGTTAAAATGTGTAAAAGTCCACCCAAGTTCAAAATGAAACAGCATACACCCCACCATTTGATAGGAAGGCTGTCAAGGTCAAAGGGTAAAGAGACCACACGGAATAAGATATCGTTGCAGCCAGCCATCTTTGAGTACACCTTTTATCCAAATTAGTTAATGTCCCAAACATTTACTTCCCTTTTAAATTTACTTTATTCACCTTTTTGAGTGAATTTGCATATGGTTATTTTCATGTGCACAGTTATAGAATTATGCTCTTTAAAGTTTTTTTAATATAAATTATATAATTGTATCAAATGTCACTATTTTTTCAGATATCCCGGCACAGAAGAAATCATTCACAGCATGTCTTGAAAGATGTTATTCCTCCATTGGAGCAATTGGTAAGTATTTCACTTCAGTACTGTATTATTTGTCTACTGTCAACAAAATAAATTACCTCAGAACTCAGCAACTTAGGAAAGCATATACCTCATGTTTCTGTGGGTCAGAAATCTGGGCATAACCAAAAGTTTTCACCCAAAATTTAAGCTACAATTGTGGTAACATCTGAAGTCTTGAATGGGGAAGAATCTGTTTTCAAGCTCAAGTTCATGGCTGTTGGCACAATTTAGCTCCTTTGAGGCTTTTGGCCAGAGGTTTCTCTTCCTTGCCACTTACATATTTGCTTTCTTCTTCAAAGCATGCTGGTTGAGAAGTCAAGAGAGTCTGTTGTGTGTGCTCAGTCACTTCAGTCATGTCTGACTCTTTGTGACCCCCATGGGCAATAGCCTACCAGGCTCTTCTGTCCATGAGATTTTCCCAGCAAGAATATTAGAGTGGGTTCCCATGCTCTCCTCCAGGAGATTTTCCAGACGCAGAGACTGAACCTAAGTCTCCTGCATTGCAGGGAGATTCTTTACCAGCTGAGCCTCAGGGAAATACCAGAGAGTCTGTTAGAAAGGTGAAAAATAGAATCTTTTGCAACCTAATCATAGAAGTGATATCCCATCAGTTTTGCTACATTCTCTTGGTCACTAAATTCAGTCTATACTTAAGGAGGAGGATTATAGATGAGTGTGAGTAACAGGTGGTAGTGGTGGTTTAGTTGCTAGGTTGTGTCCCATTCTTTGTGACCTGGTGGACTGTAGACCACCAGGCTATTCTGTCTATGAGATTTCCCAGGCAAGAATACTGCAGTGGGTTGACATTTCCTTCTCCAGTGAAGTAAAGGTTATCAGGCACCTACTGCAAATTTTGACATTTTTAAGGAAAAATTAATCCCTTATCTTTAGATTCTAAGAGTGAGAGCAAGTTTTTTTTTTAAACTTCTTGTTTATTGTTGTATCCTAATGACAATTAAGAGTGCCTGAAACATCCTACAAAACATAAAAGAATGAAGTAGGTATAGAGATAAATTACTTACAGATGTCTTAGAGATATCTTAAAAACACATAAACACAAACTTTGTGATATGTAACTTTCTTTTTATTAATGATCTCCTTTTTGAAAAATATAATGCCTCCTTTCTCCTTGCTTATCCTTCTTGTACTTCATATTAGTCAACAGAACTTCCAGTCCTCAAAATGATTTTTTTCTTGGCTCAGTTCTATGATTTTCTTCGCTTGGCATGTTTTAGGTTACTTATGTCCACTCTAGCTAATTGCTTTGTTATTCTGTTTTACTTCAGAATAAAAAATGCTTTAAAATATTGTCTACCTTTAATGTCTCTAATTTCTCCCCTCCTTTTACTTCTTGCAGCAACTCCATTTAGGCATTTATCTCAACCACTCACCTCTTAACGAGGTCATCTGTTACTTTCATGTTACTAAAGTTGGTACCAGCATGGGCACATGTTGGTAACGTTTTGGTTTTTTCCTTAGAATATCTATCTCAGAATTTAACCCAATTAATAACTTTTTTGGAAACATTTTCCTCACATGACTACCAGGAAACTGCTGTCTTATGGATATCCAAATAATTAAGTGGTCACTGACTTTCCATCTCCTTTGCTGGTTCTCATTCATCTTGTAGATCAACTTTAAATTTTCTTCTTTCTGTCTACATTTATTCACTAAGGAATCTCATTTCAGTATTGTTGTTTCATATACTGTGTTACACTAACCACTTCTAATATTCATTCTTCAGGATAGACCATTGCCCTAAACTACAATACTGTACATTGTGCATTTTCATTTATATGTCTATATCTCAAATTTAACATCCAAAAGTAATTCTGATTTTCCTCCAAACCTGCTCCTCACAGTCTTCTCCATTTCACAGGATGTAACTCCATTCTTCTAGGTCCTACAGTCAAAACTGTTAGTCATCTTCGACTTTTGTTTATTTCATTACATAAACTAAAACACCAAAGAACCCCATTTGCTCTGTCTTTAAAATCCATCTAGAATCATTTCACTTTCCCCCACCTTTATGCTATGTCATTCATCTCCTAGTTTATTATATGTGTATGACACAACTGAGCGACTGAACTGAACTGAACTGATCTGATACTTTAGTTGCTTGGTTATGTCCGACTCTTTGAGACCCCATGGACTGTAGCCCACCAGGCTCCTCTATTCATGGAATTCTCCAGGCAAGAATACTGGACTGGGTTGCCATTTCCTTCTCCAAGGGATCTTCCCAACCCAGGGATCGAACCCCAGCCTCCTGCATTGCTGGCAGATTCTTTACTGCCTGAGCTACCAGGGAAGACTTTGGGCTTCCCTGGTTGCTCAGACGGTAAAGTTTATTATAATACCTTCCTAATGGATGTATCTGCTTTCACTCTTGCTTTCTATTTTTTTTTTAAATTTTTGATATAACAGCCAGCGTGAGATTTTTAAAATGTAAGTTAGTTCATGTCACGCTTTGGCTCAAATGCCTCTCTGATTTCCAGTGTCTCCAGGGTAAAACCTGAAAGACATGAAGTTACTTACCAGATTCTACAGGACCCAACCATGTCTGTGCTTCACCGTTTCCTCTCTTCTCCTGACTTACTCTGCTCCAGCCAAGATGACCTTTTTACTTTTTCCTTAGGGCCATTTCACCTGCTCTTTGTTCTGTCTGCTACAGAATAGTTCATTTGGCACCCAGAAATTTGTAAGCCTTGTTCCTTCCTTTTCATTGCATCTCTATTCAGATATCACCTTTTAAAATAGCTCTTCTCTAGTCTCCCCTAAATACAAATGAACAAATTAAGAAAACCACCATTTCTGTCCACACTCCTTTTCTCTTACCTTAATTTAATTTTCTCTGTACAGCTTCTCACCATGTGGTATACTCTGCATGTTCTTTTTGTCTGTCATCTCCTTAGAGTGTTCTGTGGGAGCAGGCCTGTTGTCGCCTATGTTTAGATCTTGATTCCCATGATTATAATAGCTGTAAGAATGTAATAAAATTTCAGTAAATGTGTGTTAACTGAATGCACAAATGAGATAGTTATGAGATAAATGAGATAGTTAAAGACTTTTTTTTTTTTACTTCCAGGCTTATAATACACAGATTTATACTTGTGTATTTTCTCTTCATTATCTCATCATATATCTTGAAGTGTTACTTAGTCATTTGTTCTAGTATATCTTAGGGTCACTCTAGATGTTAAAAATTCCAAGTTGAACCCATCATCACCTTCTTCTCAAATTGACTCCTATTTCCATTGACCCCACCATTATTTTTTATACTTATTTAGCATTTTCATTTATATGTCTATATCTCAAATTTAACATCCAAAAGTAATTCTGATTTTCCTCCAAACCTGCTCCTCACAGTCTTCTCCATTTCACAGGATGTAACTCCATTCTTCTAGGTCCTACAGTCAAAACTGTTAATCATCTTCGACTTTTGTTTATTTCATTACATAAACTAAAACACCAAAGAACCCCATTTGCTCTGTCTTTAAAATCCATCTAGAATCATTTCATTTTCCCCCACCTTTATGCTATGTCATTCATCTCCTAGTTTATTATATGTGTATGACACAACTGAGCGACTGAACTGAACTGAACTGATCTGATACTTTAGTTGCTTGGTTATGTCCGACTCTTTGAGACCCCATGGACTGTAGCCGACCAGGCTCCTCTATTCATGGAATTCTCCAGGCAAGAATACTGGACTGGGTTGCCATTTCCTTCTCCAAGGGATCTTCCCAACCCAGGGATCGAACCCCAGCCTCCTGCATTGCTGGCAGATTCTTTACTGCCTGAGCTACCAGGGAAGACTTTGGGCTTCCCTGGTTGCTCAGACGGTAAAGTTTATTATAATACCTTCCTAATGGATGTATCTGCTTTCACTCTTGCTTTCTATTTTTTTTTTAAATTTTTGATATAACAGCCAGCGTGAGATTTTTAAAATGTAAGTTAGTTCATGTCACGCTTTGGCTCAAATGCCTCTCTGATTTCCAGTGTCTCCAGGGTAAAACCTGAAAGACATGAAGTTACTTACCAGATTCTACAGGACCCAACCATGTCTGTGCTTCACCGTTTCCTCTCTTCTCCTGACTTACTCTGCTCCAGCCAAGATGACCTTTTTACTTTTTCCTTAGGGCCATTTCACCTGCTCTTTGTTCTGTCTGCTACAGAATAGTTCATTTGGCACCCAGAAATTTGTAAGCCTTGTTCCTTCCTTTTCATTGCATCTCTATTCAGATATCACCTTTTAAAATAGCTCTTCTCTAGTCTCCCCTAAATACAAATGAACAAATTAAGAAAACCACCATTTCTGTCCACACTCCTTTTCTCTTACCTTAATTTAATTTTCTCTGTACAGCTTCTCACCATGTGGTATACTCTGCATGTTCTTTTTGTCTGTCATCTCCTTAGAGTGTTCTGTGGGAGCAGGCCTGTTGTCGCCTATGTTTAGATCTTGATTCCCATGATTATAATAGCTGTAAGAATGTAATAAAATTTCAGTAAATGTGTGTTAACTGAATGCACAAATGAGATAGTTATGAGATAAATGAGATAGTTAAAGACTTTTTTTTTTTTACTTCCAGGCTTATAATACACAGATTTATACTTGTGTATTTTCTCTTCATTATCTCATCATATATCTTGAAGTGTTACTTAGTCATTTGTTCTAGTATATCTTAGGGTCACTCTAGATGTTAAAAATTCCAAGTTGAACCCATCATCACCTTCTTCTCAAATTGACTCCTATTTCCATTGACCCCACCATTATTTTTTATACTTATTTTAAAGAACAACTTACCTCTTTTTAATAGAGAAGACACTTTTAAAAATTTTGTTCACATTTAATTTTAATTTTTTTTAGTTTATATTGGAGTATAGTTGATTAACAATTTTGTGTCAGCTTCAAGTGTGTAGCAGAATGATTCAGGTATATCTATATATTCTTTGCCAAATTATTTTTCCGCTTAGGTTATTGCAGAGTATTAATCAGCATT